CACATGCATACACGCGCGCGCGCACACACACACACACACACACACACACACATATCCTCCTGCCATGGGAGTCAGGAGCCTGCCTATCTCTAAAAATAGAAAGTTTTGGTTTTGAAAAAAATCTCATTCCAACACATCTCTCCAAGACAAGGAATAAACCTTTTATAGTAATGAACAAGAAGTGTGCATTTTGCTTACATCAGATATAGATGAAGGATTGGGTTTCCCAGCTTGAGGTTCCCAACTCTACGGATGTCAGCAAAGTGCTAGGTACAGGAATTGAGCCAAACAGGTCTCAGCTTGGGGACACTGAGAGGCCGTCCCACTTGAACTGCTAGTCAGAGACTACAGTCCCATAGCAAGTGGCCATGAGCCTTGTCTCTCCTCTCAGTTACACCCAGCTTAAGGATTCACACATTATTCATTTGGCAAATATTTACTCAGTGTCTATAGCACTCAGGCCTTGGGATACACTGTAATACTGTAGTGAAATAAAGAATGTTCTGTGTTGTACTAGAACTAAAAAGTCTAGTGGAGATGGTTTGGGGACGTTACTAAGAAAAGACATCATAGCCCAAGGTTCAAGAGGCCCAAACTATCTTCTTTTCTTTTTTTTTTAAAGAGAAAAAAGATAAAAAGAACAATGAAACAGAGTTTCAAGACAGGTTAGTAGGACAATTACAGTAATTAATACAAGGGGGCCTGGGGTTTATCTCAATGGCGCAAGCACCTGCTTGGCAAGTGTGAGGTCCTGAGTTCGATCCCCAGTACCAAATAATAATAATAATAATAAATACATGGTGTACTGTTGTCTTTAGTACCGAACTATCTTTTTTAAAAATTTTTATTAGGTTTTTTCCCTTTTACACAAACAGTGTGTGTAGGCCCTGGTTACACTTAAAAATACAGAGATATAATAAGAAAAAAACACCCATGGTCAAACTGCCACATCACATGCATATGTTATATATATAATTTTGACTGGTTTTTATTTATAGAGCTGTAACTATACCACATAAATAAAAATGAAGCCAGCTACTTCCTGTGAGTCAAATGCATGGGCTGCAGGGAAGACAACTAGATGCCAGCCCCTTCCTATTAGTCGGCACCATTCACAGGCCACAGGGAGGAGAACAAGAAGCCAGCCACTTCCTGTGAGTTAGCGCCATGTGCAGGCTGTGGGGAAGAGAACCAGATGCCAACACCTCCCTGGCACATGGGCTGAGAGACAAAGAAAGCCAAGATTCCCCCCTACCACCACCACCACCACCATGAACAACCTGCAGGCACATCCAGAGAAACACAGGCTGAAATGATGGCTATTGAGGTAAAACACAACTCAGTGCTTGCAGTGTTTAGTGTTTCACTGACTTTGCAGGCCTAAGCCAGTAGTCTGACCATGTATTCGGAGGATGACAATATGCAGTATAGCACCTAAGGGGAATCTCCTTCCAAAGGTGGTAAATACTGTTAATTCCCTATCACCTTGTTTTAAAGTCCTATATCATTTTCATTGTTTTGTTTGCTTGGGTTTATTTTGTTTTGTTTTGTTTGATTTTGTTATATCTGATGGCATAGGCAGCTATTTCAAAGATAATAAGATATAAAATATATTATAGTAGCTTATTTTGGATTTACTATTATTTTGTTTTGCAGTCCTGTATTGTGTCATTATTTTGATTTTATTGGTTTTATGCTATTCTGCTTTGATTTTCCTATGTTTGATGGTATGGCAAGCTATTTTGAAGACAACAAACAGCATTATGGTAGGCATTGCTGATTTCCTATTATCTTGTTTTGAAACCCTGTATCACTTACAGTTTTGTTTTGATTGGCTTTATCTCATTTTATTTTGCTTGTTTTTATTCTCCTTAAAATAAAAATATTTTTAAAAATAAATTTAAAATAGTCTTTTTCATTTCCTATTAATATGCCTTATTATAATGTGCATTTCCCTTTATGTGTGTGTGTATAGCTAGAGATTGAAACCAGGGCCTTCACACTGAGCTATATCGCCAGATATTGTACTTTGAGACAGGGTCTTGCTAATTTGCAAAGTTGCCTGGGCGAGGCTCCAACTTGTGATTCTTTGCTCTCAGCCTATCAGAGTGCTGGGATTACAGGCATGCACCATCACATCTGACCCTTATTTTAAAATTTTAAAGGTATCACTTTAATGTTACATAATATGCCTAAAATGGAAATACTTTATTTAGCCATTCTTTGAGTGTAAGATAATTTATATATGGTACTCATAGAATGTCTTTGTGCATAAAATTTAGCTTTAAGGTTGTGGCTGTAGCTCAGTGGTAGAGCTCTTAAGGTCCCAGGTTTGATTACCAACACTATAAAAACACTTAGCTCTCCAAATTTTGGGTTTTGGAGTCAAAGGAGATGGAAAAGGGACTACTATGGGAGAAGCCCGTGTTATTCTTATGTTAACATACATTAGAATATAACATAACTCCTATGTCTTAAGGTAACCACACATTTATGGTAGGCACATTCCAATATTGGCTGCCCTGCCTGGGGCTGTCTGGAGGTACTGCCAGCCCACCAGCTCTGTAAGGGGCAGTCCTCGATGGCCGATGGTCTGTCTTGCCTCTCAGATGGACACATCAATTAGATCCCAAATCAGCCAACACTCGGATAGTTAGAAACCAATCACAAGATTTCATTTCAAGACTAAACTAGAAGCTGGGTGTGGTGGTACACACGTGTAACCCCAGCACTCAGGAGGCTAAGGCAGGAGGATCACAGTGAGTTTGAGGTCAGCCTGGGCTACACAGGGAATTCAAGGCCAGCCTGAACAATATAGAAAGATCTTGTCTTAAAAAAAAAAAAAAAAGTAGGATATTCAGAGCTCAAAGAAAATAAATAGTGAGTACTTAAGGACAAAAGATACTAAATCCAAGTTAAAATGGTCATCCTAGGCCACTGAGATTCTTGAACAGGGGCTGGGAACACAGTTCAGTGGTAAAGTGTTTGCCTAGCATGTTCAAGGCACTGGGTTCAATCCCTAGTACTTTTTAAAAAAAGAAAAGAGAAAGAATTGAGCCGAACATGTTGACCAGGAGGAAACAAGAAAAGGAGAAAAAAAGAGAGAGAAAGAAAGGGGGAAAGAGAGAGAGGCCTTGGTTTCTGTCAGCATCTCAGCTCTGTTTCACGCCTTGTGTTCTGAGAGATATCCATGCTTCCCTTGGCCAAATAAATCCCACTTAACATTTGATCTAACTTAAGTAGGTGTCTCTTCTTTTCAATCAAAAGATCTCTGAATAAACAAGTAGAATCTCTGCATTTTTTTAAATCAAGAGCATTAGAACTAAAAAAGAGTCATCGTGTGGTGAACACTACGCTACCCTGCTCAGCAGCAGCTCCAGGAGCAGCTCAGTGCCAGCCCGGGTAATGCACTCGTCTCCTGTCAGTGAGGCTCCTTAACCTGCGTCCTTCACCTGATACACTCAGAAATAGGCATTTGTCCTACAATGGTACAACCAAGACAAACAACTCTCATCTGTACACTTTCAACAGCAACAAGGAGGAAGAAGAGAACTATTCTCAGTATTACGAAAGGAGTGTACGTCTCCTGAAGAAAAATGTAAGTGTAAGGAAGGATGAAGAAATAAAATAGCCTCCCTGGTAAGCTAACACTTTTCATTTATCAGATTAGCAATATTTTTCCTCATAAGCAAATGTTAATAAAGTTGTAGGAAACAGATGCACTATAATGCAATTGGGATCATCAATTATTACATCCCCTAGGAAAGCTCCAAGTGAGTTCATGGGACCTGTTGAAAATTTCAGTCTTAGGACCCAGTGGTTCCTCCATATCCACCTTGGGAGAACCCTTGTGCATGTGCTGGGGAATTGTCTTCAAGGATAGTCATGAAAGCATCAAAGGATTGCAGTGAGAAACAACCTAACTGTCCCTGAGAAAGGAAGGTAGGTACAAATATACGTATAACTGTATATGCAATGTTACGTCACATAGTGACGCTGAAAATAATATACAGTTACAATGTTTATTATAATTTTTAAACTTATAATTTTATTATTATAAATATTATATGTATAAATAAGATGTAATAAATTATATGTATAAATAAGTATTATATGTATAAATATGTATAATGCTACAGGTAAAAAAAATAAAATAAAACCAAGTGTATCATCCAACGTGGGACATAGTGAAAAAAAGTTGCAGAAAGAAATAAATAATCTAATGCCATTTACTCATGTTTCTTACAAAGCCACTCACACAAAACAATTATTGTCATGTGTATAAACACATATGCACATTAATGCTTAGAAAACCCCCAATAGTCAAAGGGAATATAATTTTTTCTTGCCATAAAGTAGTAACTTTGAATAAAAGGAGTCCAATTATGTATTAGTTATATAATTTTACATCAGTAAAATATACATACATACACATTTTTAAAAATTGGAAAACAAAGGAAGAAGTAAATAAAATAACCTCCAGTTCCCCTCAACATCTGGCTCTCTGGAGCTCTTCCCTCCAAGATCTGCTCAGAGCCACTCAAAGCACAGCTATGGGGGCCATCAGCTGCCCTGCTGCCCACAGGCAGTCAGGCACCATGCGGCCGAGTAGAACTCCTGATCCAAATAGCACCTTGACTCTGCAAAGGTCACGTATCCCATCCACACATTCACAATTCAAAATGCAAAGCACTAAGTGAAGCGCTGAGTTTTTCCATGTTAACTTCAATGCTTCTTTTTAAGCAGAGAATATCAAAATCTTTCCAAACAAGTAAGTTCCATTTCCCTTTCTTTGTTTGGGTATTTGTTTTGTTTTGCTTTCTTTGTTGGGGTTTTTGTGTCCTTGCTTCTTGGTTCCTAAAACCCACACAAGGTCTGCCTCTTAACTAATCCTACACGGCTCCTTCCCCCACCCCACTCTCAAAAAAGCTGTTTGCAAAGACATCTGAGCTTGCTGCTCCCACCCCACCCCACATCTATTCCTCCAGTCTCAGTCTTACCATTGTGTCGAGGGCAAGCTGCAGAACAATGAATTCTTAGCAGATGATGGTGTTACCCTGTCTGCTCATTCCGAGCCAGCCCCAGTTATGCGTGGCATCCAGAGTCAGCATTTTGTAGGCTTCTGTGACATTTGAGAACTCACATCCCACTTCTTCCAGCATTGGAGAAGAGAAGGAAGGACAGAGGGCAGCTCTTGTCACCACCAATGAGCTCATCCTTCTCCGAGAAGCGATAAAAAAGATGAATGTTACCCCATGAATCAGGAAAACCAAACTCATGAGAAAGCACACATTTCCCAACTGCCTGATCTGCCAGCTGGACCTCTCCAATAAAAGGAAAAGTAGACTAAAACTCCTTCCTTAGAATAAAATAACTGAAACAAGCTCTTCATGCCATCCATATAGAGGTTTTGATTTCTATATCCCTCCAAAGTCACATTCCCTTACCAGCCCGATTAGGTCTGAAGTCACGCATTTCTGGGACCTTCTCCAACTCCAACAGTTGGTGCAGTGGAGCCATGAGCACATCACTTAGCCACTCTGAGGTTCACTTTCTTAATCTGTAAATTAGAACACTCATTCCCATCTTTTTGTGTTGTTGAAAGGGTTCAATTTGTAACCCTAGTGCAAATGCACCTCATCATTACTCATTAACTCAAAATAGTGGCTGCCCACCTGGTGGATAATAATACTGGGGGATTCTTTGACCCTCTCTTTGGCAGGGCTATTCTTGGGAGACAAAGTCAAGGAAGGAGGAGAAACAAGGTAACAGCATGGGTTTCTGGGAGTTAGGTAGCCTGGTTTTAAATCTTCTCTATACCCCTTACTGGTGGTATAACCATGAAAAATTTCTGAAATTCTCCAAACTTTAGTGCCTTCCAATTAAAAGTGGGGAATTGAAAATACCAGTTTAGTAAGGGACTGTTGTAGTCAGGGGTTGTGTGGAGAACAATTAGAATCAAGATAAGGAGTTTATAATATTATTTTTATAATGGTCACCGGGAGTTAACACAAGAAAATGCAGGAAATCTATCTGCAACACCAAAGACAGATTATTTAGTCAAGAGCCTAAATCCCACAGCAATGTCCCACAGGAGTCCGGATAAAAATCCAGAGCTCACGACAATGCCTCCCACGAGTCCAACTGGAGGTCCAGAGCCCACAAGAAGGACTCACGCCAGTCTCTTTTACGGATCTGTGCTGGGAAGACCCAAGGGTCAGCAGTGGAAGCCAGAAAGTCTATGCCAGTGGGGTGAAGGAGCTGTGCTAGTGGGATGAGGGTTCTATGCTGGAGCCAAGAAGTCACACTCACAACAAAGACCAGGGCTGTCCTGAAAGACACCACAGCCATCCTCAGTGACACTGAGGCCTGAGTTCCTCCAGCGACAAGCATAGTGAGTACATGCCAGGAAGCAGCGTGACGAGTTCATCCTGGGGACCAAGCAGCACATGTCTTCCCCTCCAGAGCCAGGAAGCAAAGCTCAATGTAAGGACCAGAGCTTCTCCAGGAGAACCAACAGCTCAGACAACAACTCATGGGAGAGCCCACAATGCTTCAACACAACGACACAACAACGCATTAACACCTCAACACCTCAACAACCTCCTTCTCCTTCTCCACCTATTTATGCTGGCAACTTTCCTCAAGTGGAGCATCTACGCTCAGTGCCATGCTGATGTAATCCAGCTGGCGTTAAGTTGACCACCAGTTCTTAATCCATAACAGGGACTGTCATGAGGAATAAAGAAGTTGATTCTTATAATTAACTTAGCACAGAATTTTTGATAAAACTTTGATTTTGATAAAAGACATTGACTATTCTTACGTCAGTGGTTATTCCATTAGTGCTGTGTGAGTACACTGCCTGAGAACAAAATCACTAGTGCGGTCCACAATAAGAACCTGGAGAAGAATCAGGTTGGGGAAGACTGTTAAAATTCTTATTGAAGACAGTGGGTTAACCAGGGGATCCTTAAATTACACATATTCAACTCAATTTTCATTAATTTTAATGAGAAACAGGATTTATTAGCTGTTGTGGCAGAGTTGAAGTTGGCCTTGAATATGACTGGCTCCAGAGAGTCCCAGTTATTATAACTAATTCCTTCCCTCAGTCTGCTTCAGTCTATGGGTCAGTCTCATTCTTATGTTCTGCAAATGGTCCCATCTGTGCAATAAGAGAAAAACAAGAGCTTCTCTCTCACAGTATCTACATGTGAAAGCCAGGGGCAAATGCTAGTTAGTTATGTTTGGATCACACGGCCATCTCTGGACCAATCATTGTAGCCAAATAGATGGAGAATCTTTATTGGTCACACCTAAGCTGTTCCATTCTTGGAATGCTTTTTCTGTCTGAAAAACACAGAATGGGGGTCTGTCAGCTCCACAAAGGGGAAGGAGTGGTGAGGAGCAGTTACCACAGAGGAAAAGGTTCATAGATACTAAATATATCATCAAATACCTCTTCTTAACAATATCCAAGGACATCATATAACCTTTCTTTTTCCTCATGCTCAAGGATCAGCTTTATTAATGAATCATTTCTAATCCTTGGAACACTAATTGCTCCAAATTAATTAATTAAAAATGTAATGATATTGGAGGCGGAAGATTTAGCACAGTGGCATAAACATCTGCCTGGCAAGCATGACATCATGAGTTCAATCCTCAATACTAAAAAAGTACTAATATGTAATATTCCCAAGGAGAAATATCTCCAACAGAATTAAACACTGGATTATAACATTGCTAACTACCAGTTACTTTTTAATTCCATCAGGTCAGTTAGTAAGCAATCCATAAAATCATTCTTTTTTACATACTTCAAATTCTTCTGTTAAATATACTAAGCTGTTTTCTCCAATGGGGAAAGAATGGAAATCCCCACTGCCTTCCTACCTCCATATATGTGTGATACATACTCAAGTTACTGGTACAAATTCTTCAAGGTTACAGATCACTTGTTTATCAAGCTGAATCTCTCAGGGCCAGGGATATGGCACAGCGCCCGTCTGGCAAGTGTGAGGTCATGAGTTCAATCCTTGGTACCACAAAATAAATAAATAAATCCATCTCTTTGCTGGAGGATTGAAGGAAGTCATAGGAGGTAACCATGGAAAGAGGCCTGGGGCTCAGATGTTTGTTCTGTGTTCCTGCATTTTTCTTTCTGGAACCTTCTACCTTAGCCCCAAAATATGTTACCATTTTTAGTGCTGCAAAGCCTGTCCTTGTTGCTAACTGCATCTGGTTTCCTGTATTTCTGTAGCTTCCATATGTTTTGTCTTATTCTGACCTTCTTCCCTAAATAGTAACGCTTTCAACTCTTGCAGGATTCTAGAATGCCCTCCTCGGGTTAGAATACCCGATAAATGACCTGTCATAATAAGTAGATAATTATATTGGTCAGCTTTCTTTCATTACAGCATACCTGAGAAAATCAATTTAAAAGATGGGAGTCTTACTTTATTCATAGCTTCAGTCCAAGACCACTTGGCTCTGTTATTTTTGGGTCTGCAGTGAGGCAGAACACCAAGTGGGGAGCATGAGGTGAGCAAAGCTGCTCACCTTAGGACAGCTACAAGGGAAGTGAGGAGAGGGAGAGAGAAAGAGAGAGGAGGAGGAGAGAAAGGGAAAGGGCTCTGTTTTGTAATAAGGGCCCTACCCCAGCCCGCTAAGCTATGAACCCGGGAATGGATTAATCCATTCATGAGGTCAGATCCTTCCCTCCAAGAGGCTCCACCTCTGGACGCTGCTATACTGGGGACTAGGCTTTTTCCATTCGAGCTGCGGGGAGGGAGGCAGCATTTAAAATCCAAATCATCCTGACAAGGCACAAAACAGAAACAAAACCCGAGTGCTGACAGTGCTGGGAAATTCAGAGTCCTCCCCAATAAGTTCAACTAGTTAAATCTGAATTATCTTTGTGGACAGTTGTAAATGTGGAGTCACCAACGCTGTGTAAAATTGTGGGGTCTATCATTTAAATATCATACTAGCGTAGCAAGATTACTTTGATCTTCTTAGAACCTCTACAAGACACTTGTTCCAAACTGAAGCCACTGAGTTGCTGTCTCTGGTCTTACACAGCAGTGACCTGGTTCTCCCATCACAAGAAGTCTCAGCGTTGCTGGCCCTCTGGTTTTCTTCTACCAAAGTCAAGTGAACTACAGGCCTACTGGTCAGATTCCTCTAGAGTCCATAAATATGGAGCCAGCCTGCTCTTGTCCTCTCTAAATTATCACTTTACATTTACCTTAGAGCACACTATATCTCTGATTACTTTTTGATTTCCCTCAGTGGGAATTTTGAAGATTTGGCATCAGTATCTACGGAGTCTTCTTTCTGGAGGGCGGAGCCCACCCGATCTCATCACTTCCCAAAGCCTCCACCTCTCAACACATTCTAGGTCCAAAATATGAGCAAGATTTTACAAGTTTTGTCCTTACAGCTATGGTTTTCCTGTTTCTTCAGATTGTCTAATTCATCTTTCTGCTCTCCAGTCTTTGATGAGTCTTCTAATGCCACAAAATTTGATTCAGGCTCTGAGTTTGGTCCATACAAATTTGCACACCTTGGGGCAATAGTCTTTGTCACATTATAGACAGTGTTCTAGGTTGGTTGTCAAGCACAGAGTTAGTACACTTTCCTTTAAAATTATCCTTAGAGCAAGAGATGGAGGGGGGACATGAAAAGAACTGAGATACATCATGTACATGTACCAATTTCCCACAATGAATGTAATCATTAGATACTGCAAACATACTAATAAAAATTAAAATTTTAAATAAATTATCCATTAGCACTTCTGTAGACTGGGACTCAATATTCTAGATGTGTGCTATAAGTTCTAAAATCACAAATGTTTAGTAAGTATTAAGGAGTCACACAAAAATAAACAAAATCTCTGGGACCTTTTTTTTCAGTTGCCTCATCTGTCAGTTCAAAACTTTAGGAAGGTATAGCGATTGTCTTTCTCGCATATCTAAAGAGCTTTCAGGAGCTGCTCAGTAGTAGAAATTCTAAATTTAAATACAGCCTGATCCTAGAACTTTTCTGCTCCATTCTCCTTAAGACCTTGACTTTCTTTCTTTTATTCCCCTTTACTTTTCTTTGTTTTTCCCCATTCTGATTATCTGAGAACTATTTTCTCCTCTTTTTTCCTCTCATTTTTGTTTATCATGATCAGTTTTGTTCTCAAAGAAGTTTAAATTGTGCCATGACCTACACAATG